TGTAAATTGGTGAGCTCTTCATGCCAGTCTAGTACTGCGCTTAAATTCAAAGTCTCTCAGCACAATATCGAAGAGTTCATCCGAACAATTACCATGAAAGTATTTATAGAAATGGCACAGCGAAGTAACCTTACGTAGGTAGGAAAGGAACTAAAACAGAGACGCCAAAACAGAACCAATAATATTGCTGATATCATTTGGATTTTATCATAGAGTTCTAGGTTAAATAGCAGCAGCAGCGTACCATATGTGACAGCCTTATTCTAAGCATGGTATTGAGGAGAAATATAACGCAATGGTATCGCGCGCCGATAATTGCTACTCTACGCGCTCATCCATTTATATATATTTTATAGCTAAATCTTCATCAACATCTAATAACGTGTACGTTGCCGGTCAATGATTCCCGACCTGTCATATATTTTAGTTATCTACGCTTTTACGTATAAAAGACGTGCCCTTTCATAATACCAGCCATGTCTGTTGTGGCCAAGCCACGTAGACAAGTATATTGTAGTATATACATAGTTTAATGATGTAAAAACTTTCTCTTTTCGTATTTATCCAAGACTGTCCTTAAATGGTGTTTCGTCAGAAAATTTTGCCGCTCATCTATTGCCAAATTGTGGCGGGGTCCTTTTTTTTTATCTCATCCATCTGACAGAACGGAAACGTGTATTACGTTTATCAGAAAGAGATTATATTTGTCCATGTTAGTTGATCTCATCTGCTCAATCCTCTTTGGGCATTAACGAATAGCAAAGTGGCATAAAATGATTATCGATTGATATTCACAAGCATTTGTTCTGCTTAGTAGAAAAGAAAACAGAAAAAAAAAAAAAAAAAATTCGTCGCAAAAAAATCACGTAAAAAACACTGAGACCAATCACAGTAATGAAACTTGGGAATCCAAAATTTCAGGATTCCAAGTCCGGATCCTGCCCGGAATGTCTTTAATTTGCCCACGGAGTCGGTTTGATTCGAAAATGGTATGATATGTTTGAGCTATGGCCTGTAGAAGTAAAGTTGAAAAAGAGTGACACAGTGTCACACTGACATTCGCATTTGTTATATAGAAGGTGAAAGGACAATAAAAGAACAAGTTTTATGAAGATAGAAGTTAACGATTGGCATTGCATTTCCATTTTTGAAGACCAAATTTGACTAGGAACCAAGAAGCCGGAAGAGCATTCTACAGGCGGGAAATTCGATAGAAGAAATCTTTATCATTAAACTAACGGTTACATATAACAATTTCAATTGTAAAATTACAAGATCTAACCGCCAATCTAGTACTGCGCTTAAATTCATAAAGTTTAGTTGCCATAGAGAAAAGTTCATCAGAACAATTACCATGAAAATATTTATAGAAAAGGCAGAGGGAAGCTACTTTACACCAGTGGGAAAGTGACAGGATCAATTAAGTTACAGATTATTCTTTGTATTGTATCAAGAATCTCTAAATATATAGCAGATGCACCATACCAGATGCCCTTTTTAGAAGCTAAAACAATTCCTCGTATTTCCAAATATGGTTACTAACTGCTGGCACTAATAAGCTTCCATTCTGGTGTACAACGACTTCCATATTTGAGAATAAATTCGTAACAAACTCATTCAAAACCCCTACCACAAATTCACCATATTTATTTAGTTATTTAATAATGGCTCTCTTATTCCGGTCTATTTTGATTACCAATTTCCGATTAAATGACGAAAATAAAGAAAATGGCTGTTATTTTTTTAACTGGTCTAAAAGTACAGTACAACTGCTACTTGCTTTCAAAATGCTACTATTTATTCACCCTTATATCTTCCTTTTCACATAAATTTACGACATCAACGCTAAGGATCGCGATCAAAATATATGCTTAATACACAGAAAACGGTAAATAGGACAAAGAAATCCTAAAGCGCATTTGAATAGCCAGAGATGACAGCCAAAACTTAAATAAAATACAATATAATAATTATGCTTGTCCCTCCCTTCGTTAATTCCTTAATTCGCGCGACCATTACGCCTTGCCACTACCTCGTAAAAATGGACTATGATCGAGTGGAAAGACAAAAGACATATCAGAGTCACTATTTGGGCACCTCGAGGCGGTGCTTGTCTCGCTAGAACTATTAAGAATGAGTAGTGAGTTCGATCCTCACTGGGTGCCCCCTACTTTCGGCCTTGTGACACATCTAAGCTATGCTTGGAAATCACTATCAGAGTCACTATTAGATTTCCGTGAAAAAAAAGAAAGAAATAAAAAAGAAATAAAAAAGAAAGAAAGAAATGAAAGATAGACGTGCTTAACGTCTCCTACTAATACCTAATAAATAATGGTCTTTCCGTTTCGATCGCAGGAGTAGATAAAAAAGGTACTTGGTTTCAATTAGGAAATGAAAGAAAGAAGTTCTGAGAGAAGTGTTTAATTCTGTTTCAGTGAAACGAAAAATGCTGTCACTTTTGTGTAGATGAGAACAGAGTTATCTGCCCCTGTAAAACAAGCTGGGACAGAGTTACCTGCTCTTGGCATAGTATATAAAGCAGGCCGGTGAACGCGGTCGGGAGCGTTTTACTGACATACAGTGTCGGACGTGTGGAACGCACTCGTCACACTTTACATACAACTTTCAAATCTTTTTCATTTGTATCTCTTTACTTCTTAAAATAACGTCCAACATTCATATTTATGATTGTTATTGCAATATTTTGCTAGAGTTGTTCAGCTCAAATATTTAACAATACGATAGGAGAATTTCCACGGATAGTTGATTGTCATAGAATTTGCCATGAGCTTATTCAATCATTAACTGAACAATTAAGAATCCACCAAAAATTGAAAATAGGAAAATCGTGAAATTTTCACTGGTTTAAAACTGGTAAGAAAAGATTTTGTTTTGAACCAAGAAAAGTGTAACGAACTCTTATGTAATAATATCGATCGTCCTATATGATCGTGAATGTTGGACAGGTGAGGACGAGACTTGAGGCTACAGAACTGGGATATCAGGGACAGAACATGTGAGCAACGAGGAAGAGTTAAGGGAAATGGAGACCAAAAGGACAACTGAACTTTCTGGGAGAATTTCATACTCACAGGGCATACTGAAGGCAATGTGATATGAGGGAGACATTGGGTAACCCACCTAACAGGCTTGTGTAAATTGATTTTACGAGAGGGACTGAAAGTTATGGCAAGGGGATAATGTTATATATATATATATAAGGTTTAGTCAGAAGTATTTTTCGCTTTTCAGATTTTATTTTAATGACGAATGTACTAATCTAACTACTAATTATAGATGGCAGTTAAGAATAAGTTTGGAGTACACTAACATAACTTAAATTTTGTACAGCAGTGGCAGCGTACACAGTGGATTAAAAGAAAAAAAAAATCTGCTCTTCTCCATGACAGCGAAAGAATAACACAGGAAAGATATTTGGAACTCGGTTAGGTTGTTTTACCTAATTCGCCATATTCAACTGACATTGAACCAAACTTTTCCGATCGCTGAAAAAAAAAAAAAACTTTGATAGGAAAACTTTCTCTATTAAAAACCAGATTCAAAGTCTTTTCCACATCAAACACCGCAGTATTTTACACAAAAGACACTGAAGATGTATCTGATAAGTATCAACAATTTATTATAAATGATTTAGTTTAGTGGTTTTCAACTTTTTTACCAAATGAACCCTTTTCAGTATACGCCAGAATTGAGGTGACTGATTTACATATGAAGTCACAAAGACTATAAATAGCTACGGCTATTACCCATGAGGAAGTTGAGTGCATACTACTTCCCGCAAGTAGTTAACTCTACAAAACAAGAATGTCATTTGTCCACTTTCCAAGATTGTCCGACTCAACAGGTGAATTCCAAATAATATGTATATATTATTGAAAATTTTAGTTCTTTTCCATATGAATACGTATAGATTTACCTGGATTATTTTTATAGAGGAGTTTTGCAAATTAGACTATGTTGTTAGATTTTTTAAAATTTGAAGAGCTAAAGAAACCAATTAGAAAAGATACAACTCAGTCCATAAGACGTTTGGCACGTGAGGGAGGAGTTTCAATTATGACAGTCCAATGAGCAGTGAAAAAATTACTTGAAAATGAAAGCGCTAAATACATTCTTATTGTTCAAAGTAGAGTCCAATAGCTTTATAAAAAAAACTCGGAGAATTCCAGTAAGACATCGTTAATCATTTGTAGAATACAACAGTTCGAAATCTTAATTGGACAATTTTGCTGTTACACGATTTGGACAATTTTGCTGATACATCCGGTATATATAAGATAGATTCAGGCGAGAAAGATTGTCTAGAACGACAAGAATTCCAGTAAGACATCTTTAATCATCTGTAAGATACAACGGTTCGAATCTTAATTGAACAATTTTGCTGTTACAAGATTTGGACAATTTTGCTGATACACCCGGCATATATAAGATAGATTCAGGCGGGAAAGATTGTCTAGAAAGACACAGTGAACCAACTTTCCTAGCAGCAGGCCTATCAACCCTATCCACGTTATTTAAAGCCACAAATGTTTTTAGATTTTAAGAATGTTTTGAGAGATAATAATGGTTTTAGTGACATAAATCTTGGTGGAGTAATGGATAGCGGCTCGGATAGAGGAATCGGAGAGCCGAGTTCGAATTCCAGTCGAATCCATTACATTCACTTACGTGCTAATACCCTTGGGAAAGATATGAATCCTCTTCTTCTCCCCACGCCCCAGCTAAGTATCAAGACAGACCTGGTTCTATAGCCTTGGACGGCAATTGGTCTACCGCAGAAAGAAATGGCAACCTACCGAGAAAAAATAATCTGTCTCATCAGTCATGTATCGAAAGATACATGATCGCCTAAGCGTGTATCACGCATGGCATATAACTGACTGACATAAATCATACTAATTAACGTATAAATGTAGAAGAAGAAATTGATTCATACCTTTCTCAATGGTATTTGTGCGTAAATCTATATAACGAACCAAACCTGAACTCCTATGTGGTCGCCCATCTAGTTACTAACCAGACTTGACGTTGCTTAACTTCGGTGATCGTACGGGGACTGGTGTTTCATCGTGCTGTGACCGAAAACCACTCAAGGTAGAGTTATTGAATGATGTGAGTGTTATTGATGTATAAATAGATGGCGTGTGAGAGGAGGTGTATTCATACCTTTCCCAAAGTGTGTATGTGAATCTAACGAAGCCGACCGGCATTCGAACTCAGTTCTCCGATTAACAATTTCGAGCTGTTATCCTTTGCGCCACCCGAACATCCAAGCTTACAGCACTTGATATCTGCACTTGGTCATCCATGTAGGTACTAACCAGGCTCACTGATAATCAACTTGATCGTACGAGAACCAATGTTTCAACCTGATATGGTCGTAATCCCTTTAATATGATTGTTAGGGGACCTTACCCATAATAACATAATGGACTATTCCATACGTAATAAATACTGCACCTCAAAAGGAAGCAAGGAGTTCAGTCTGAAGTCGGGCGACCGGATGACCGGCTGATCGGTTGAACTCTCTGCCTTCGGGGAGGAACCCGAACGAGGCTACGCCGAAGGGCGGAGTCACTTTTGGGGAGGTAAGCCGACCCTGAACCCGTTTATACGGGTTCAAAGGGCATATTTTTAGCCGAGTCCACGGGCTAGGAGATCCCACGTTAAACCGGCCTTGTGCCACATGATGCCCTCGCGGGGTGTGACTAAATACCGTTCCGTCCGAAGTCTAGAGTTCCGTCTGAAGTCTAGAGTTCAGTCTGAAGTCTAGAGTTCAATCTGAAATCTGGAGTGAAGTCCGTCAGAAGTCTGTCAGGAGTCCGTCAGTTAGTCAGTCAGAGCGAGTCAGTCAGTCGAGTCAGAGGCAGTCCGAAACAGAGTCGCGTTCAGACAATTACTACTAAACCAGATTGTTCGTACTAACACTTTCTACTTCTCTGTATATATTCCTGTTTGTAATATATCTGTGTTATTCGATATCCGCCTTCGAGTTCTTCTTTATTGGTTCTATTCTTGGACTATCATCGTGGTACAAGGAACCGGACCATAACAAAGATAAAGAATCCTTAGCTGATATGTTCTTCCACAGGGAGTTTATAAAGTTCGTGTGCATTTTTAATACTTTTAGCTTTGATTTTAGGGAATTTTATATCAAAGTGGTTAAAATGCTTTCGTGCGACGCTTTTCGTCATTTAGGACTTCATCGGACTAAAGTGAAAAATTAAAATATTCTTTTAAAATATATGAGTCCTGGGTATGACGATAAACTACATCCGGCAGTAAGGCCTCTGATCGGGAGATTGGATTTTTTGAGGAGCATGGAACCACCTCTTAATTGCTGTTGATCGCGGGTCCACCCTGACCTGGGGTAGTACCATCTGCTAGGGTGCCTCCAAACGCAAACAAAACTCTGTGGAAGTATAAACAATTCATTTTTATGTTAAAAACAACACCAATTCACTTTTTATATAAAAGAATTATCATCAATACATCTTTGTAGCAAAATTACCAACAATAACATTTTAAAGCAAAATGATAAGCAATGCATTTTATCTGAAGTTGACTGCATACAATCTCCCAGAAATTCATACAGAGATGTCCTCAAAGACACATGGCACAGTGGATAAAGGCATAGTTAGATCCAGTGACAGGACCCAAAGAATGTGAGTTCAATACCCGGTTAAGGCAGTGGAGAACTTGGAGAGGGGTGAACAGGAGATAACTGACATCCATCACACATGGCACGTGGAACTAAAACTGTCTACCCCAGCGAGTGAAGTAAAGGGTTCTGTTCGACATTCCAACCACCTGAAGAAGACCGAAGCGTACAGCAGCCGAAACGTTGTGATAAATATGGCAACAAAGATGAAAACGATAGTCTGAACAAGGAAAATAGTGGGCATACGATTTTGTTCAAAATATTTAGATTTCATACATTAAATACACCAGGGAGGCTGATATGCCGCGAAACAAATTCAAGGGTAAATTTGCTGTGTAACACCCGAACTCAGTTCGCATTAAAAAATTCTAAAATACTTACATTTATATGTAATTGTACATGTTCCATTCAAATCTGGCTTGATAAATGTATAAAATCTACCATTTTGGAGTTATCGACAGTGAAAGTTTGGATTCATTCGCGTCGCGGGCAGTCATTAATCGCGTTGTTTTTATTCATTCGCTGCAGAATAGATATCAGTATAGGTATCATTGCGCAAACTGTGCGTGTTTACATAAATAGTTCTCGTGCGCAGTAACTGAGACAAATTTAGACAAGAAAGATCAGCGAATGAATTCAAACTTTCATTGTCGATAACTCCAAAACGGTAGATTTTATCAAATTTATCAAAGCCAGATTGGAATGGAGCATGTACAATTACATATAAATGTAAGTATTTTTGAAATATTTCATACGAACTGTGTGCGGGTGTTACACTGCAAATTAACCAAATCAAATAAACCATTAAAATATATGTTTTCGGGAATGTAGTCGAGCCGACTTCATTTAGTTTCTTTTTGTTTATTGTCCAGTTTTTTCTTACTATTTGAAAAAAAAAAAAAAACGATCATTGTTCTTTTTTACCTATTATTATTTTTAATTTTCTTGGAACTTCGAAATGACTATTTTCCCCTCATTTTTAATGACCCATGGCTTCACTAAAAGAGAAAATAAACTACATTCTTTTGCTGGATGAGCCAAAATAATTCGCTGTTGACCAACGAAGGTTTAGAAATAATTAGAATAACGGAATACCACACAGGAAATTCGTATCTAAGTGGATGATAAAGTTTCAAGAAACAGGCTTTTGTCAATGATAAACGACGGTCTTTTGGCAGACTAGGTGTATGTGAAGAAAATGTAAAATCGTACAAGAACATAAGAATAAATTTAAAAAAAGATATTTTCTTATCCTTTTTACGAATTAATTCTATCTTGTATAGTTACAAAACTATAAGCATTTAGATCAACATATGAAGTTAATAAAACCCTGCGTCTTTTTAGAGAAAGTTTTTTGTTTATATATAAGCGCAAAAAACTGATATAACTGCTATGTGAACAAGTATATTTTTTGGCTTAAATTTAATGTTTTGGAAAGAAATGCACGTGTGCCATTTTGAAATACTGTTTCAAAACATTTTTTGTTAATATTAAGAGGTAATAGCTCAGATACAATATTAAAAAAAAAAAGTACAATATTTTTTTTAAAAAAAGAAAGAAAAATTTTTTTTTTTTTTAAATAGGTTCTTTAAAGTTTTTGTAGTTGTGTGATTCAAGTTTTAATGTAAAATATATCTTTTATTCTTGCATTAGATTATGAACTACGTTGGTTATTTATGAAAAGAATTGCAGGTTCGAGGTATTTTGGCGGAAGAAATATCTTGAAGAATGTCTGCGACCGGGAGAATTTTTTCGAGGGTAGTCGTGACGAAAATACTCTGGTTGAATGACTCAGGGCTAGGTTAGTCTTCGGCTTTCATTGTCTGATAAACTCTGAAATAGATTGCAGAAAAGTTCCGTTTTAAAATGTGATTTCAGTTCTTAATAACATATAACTGAATTGTATGACTGTATAAATAATATCACTGTACTGTAGGACATCTTATTATTAATGTGAACTTCATTTACCTGGCTTAAGTTTTATCGAAATCACTCAGTACACCAGAAGCCGGGAATGAATTGCAACAAATTTTTAAATATAAAATTGTGTATTATTTTTTTTACAATAATGTTTAGTCTATACAAGGCCCAAGGGCAACTCGAGGTAGAGGGTTACAGAGTAACACTGAATAATTTCTATAGAATTATTGCTTTTCTCGCAATATAATTTTGGAAAAAGGAAGCGACAGCATTCCGTTTATCTCTTAGAAGCAGTCATAGTTTCGAAACCCACACACATTGGTAAATTCCTCACCTCAAAAGCGCTAGCTGATCACTCCACTGACCTAAGTAGAGGAAAAACTGGCTGGTTACATTCAATGCATCGAAAACCAAACTTGTGACCATGATCATCAAGTAGGCTCTGAATTTACGCCTATCGCGATAAACGGGCATTCTCTCAGAGAAATCCCCAGTTATGAATGTCTGTTAGATCTTCTGTTCAACACAGACCTCAAGTGGAACTCGTATATACGATACACAACTAAAGATGCTGGGGAAAAGGTCGGTTCCCTGTACGACTCTAGTATGCACCTGACTCCCTTTGCTATCCTCTACCTTTACAAGTACCAGATCCGATCCAAAATGGGGTACTGCTGCCATATAAGGACAGATGGTGCTCTGTCTTTCAATATTCGAATAATTCATCAACCACAAGATGCCTTGTCGGTGATGAATTATTTTCCACGCTGCAATCCCTTTCCCAGAGACGAAACATTGTAAGACTCTCACTACTCGATCATTATTTCTATGGAAAGTGTTCAGATGAACAACATTCCTTCGTTCCAGCATTTCTAACATTCACGGCTAAGTATATCGAAGAAAAACGATGAATTACCTCGTTAAACCAAGCGACAGCGTGTCGCGTGTATCCTACGACGGAAATGGGGTGAAAAAGAAATTTACTTGCTGAAAAAGGGGCACGTTTTCTGCACGATATGATGAAAACGGAATATTTAAATTAGAAAAAAGTCAGTCGCCTTAAAAGTATTTTGATATGTTAATAATGTGCGTCCTCTCCCAGTCGTCGACGAATGTGAAAAATGCTCGGCGATAAAAGCAGTTTGTGTTAGAAAGAAGGAAAGAAGGAAATAAATAAATAAGATAAATAAATAAATAAATGAAATAAATAAATAAAAATAAATTAAAATAAATAAATAAAATAAAATAAACAAATAAAATAAAATAAAAATAAATAAATAAATAAAATAAAATATAATAAAATAAAATAAATAAGTAAAATAAAATTAATAAATAAATAAAAAAAATAAATAAATAAAATAAAATAAAATAAATAAATAAAATAAGATATAAATAAATAAATAAATAAAAATGAAATAAAATAAATAAATTAATAGAATAGAATAAAATACGAATAAATAATTAAATAAAAATGAAGATAAATAAATAAAATAAAAATAAATAAAATAAAATAGAATAAAATAAAATAAAATAAATAAATAAAATAAAATTAATAAATAAATAAAAATAAATAAATAAATAAAATAATAAAAGATAAAATAAAATATAAATAAATAAAAAAAATGAAATAAAATAATAAATTAAATAAATAAAATAAATAAAAATAAATAAATAAATAGAATAAAATAAAATATAAATAAATAATCAAATAAAAAATAAAAGGTAAATAAATAAAATTAAAAATGAATAAATAAAATAAAATATAAATAAATAAAAAATGAAATAAAAATAAATAAATAAAATAAATAAATAGAATAAAATAAAATATAAATAACTAATTAAATAAAAAATAAAAATAAATAAATAAAATAAAAATAAATAAATAAAATAGAATATAAATAAAATAAAATATAAATAAATAAAATAAAATAAAATATAAATAAATAAAATAAAATAAATGAATTCGGGTATTTAGCGGCTGTCGGTGCTTGAGTTATTTTTCTGACTGGTTACGTGTATTGGGATTTATGAGATAGTCTCTTCGAATCGAGATTTCGACATTTTCTTTCATAAAAATATGTTTTAATTTCAAATATAAAGTAAAAACAATAAGTTAAGTAATATGCAAAAAGCAATATTGCATTTTTATTAAATAAGTATTTGTTATTTTAATCATTAAATTGTTTTTTTTTAAATAGTGGGAGTATTTAGCATGTGGAATAATAAAAATTGTTAATTTTCCCCCCAAATTAGTGAAAGCCAATTTTACTCTAGTAAAACCAATTGTACTTTGTACCTCCTTGCCTGTTTACACCTCTCCCCAAAATTTGGTTTCGATCGCTCAATGTATGGCTATTTTAGACGGTGTGACGGAGGGCCGGACTAACAAAAGTCACAGAATTTTATATATATATATATATATATATATATATATATATATATATAACTATGATAAAAACACTGTACTAAGTGTATTCATAATGAAAGTGATTACTTTGTTTGTTATAGTCTGATTTTTGTTGATCTAGGATTTGAACGGAACATTTTAACGTTCATTCAAATTCCGATTAAGTGAAGAATGCAATAGCATATATTTGCCGGAAATTTGATTTCGTTTGCTTAAATTTCAAAGAGCCTTATTCTCAATAGAATTAGAAGACTTCAAGTGGGGTTAAAGATATTACATTTATAAACGTCCTTTCGCCAAAAAAAAAAAGAAAAAAAGAAAAAAAAATGATAAAGGGAGCGAGGTCAAAAGAAAGGATGCGACTGATCGATAGAGAGGGATCAAGAAGTGGAAAGAGAGAGTGGTGAGTGAATTATCGGAGATCGAGTGGGAGAAACCAAAGCTAAAGGACAGAGTTGAGAGAGAGAGAGAGAGAGAGAGAGAGAGAGAGAGAGAGAGAGAGAGAGATCGGAGGAGAGAAAAAGTGATGGATGAGAGAGATCGGTGTTAGATTGTTGAAGAGAGATTGAAGAAAAGAGATCGCAAGCTGATCGAGGGAGAAGGTTCGAAGGAGAGAGCAAGAGATCGAAGCAGAGAGAGAGAGAGAGAGAGAGAGGCTGTAGGAAAGAAAAAGTGATCGATGAGGAGTGTGAGTGAGAGAGAGAGAGAGAGAGAGAGGGATAAAGATCAGAGGCTGATCGAGGGAGAGATCAAAGGACAGATCGAGAAAAAGGGTTCGATGAAGGAAGCAAGAGATCGAGAGGGAGAGAGAGAGAGAGAGGGGGGGGAGGGAAAAGAGTGGTTGAAGAATAGAGAGAAAGAGAGAGTTCCAAGGCGAGAGCAAAAAATCGGAGAGTGCTAAAGATCGGAGAGTGTTTTGAGATCGAATAAGAGATTCCGACAAACAGTGCTCGGAGGAGAGAAAGAGAGATCGAAGGGATATATATATATATATATATATATATATATATATATAGAGAGAGAGAGAGAGAGAGAGAAAATGATCGATGAGGCGAGTGAGTGAGAGGAGTGAGTGGAGTGGGATAGGCGGTAGATTGATGAAGAGAGATCGGAGGCTGATCGCGGGAGAGAACGAGGCAGAAGATTCGAAGGAAAGAGCAAGGCATCGAGGTAGAGAATGAGAGAGATGGAGGAAAAGAATGGCTTAGAAAGAGAGGAAAGGGGAGAGAAGAGTGAGAGAGTCCATAATTTCACACAGGTTGGTTATATGTCAAATACAATGATGATTAACCGCTGCGCTATTCAGGAATCCTTCTGCAATACACAGCAATTATACACGAACGATAGCATATGATTACCAAATACAGTAAGCTGAACTGGATAGGGGGGTAGTAAATCATTGAGGATTATGCACTTACCTTGGATTCCACAGCGGTTCGACAAAGCAACCGGGGACTAAGATATCGGTACTAAATATAGGACAACGGAAGATATTTTTTTATATACCGTATCCTTCAGGATGCAGAGAATCAAGGTTTTTTTACAACGTCCAAGTCTTTTGTTGATCTAAGAAACTTATGACGTTTTACCATCTCCCTTTGTCTTTGATTTTTTTCCTCATTCATTCATTCAAACTCGTTGAATAGATTACGCGCTGGAGTAATGGATAGCGGCTCGGATTGAGGAATCGGAGAGCCGAGTTCGAATTCCAGTCGAATCCATTACATTCACTTACATGCTAAAACCCTTAGAAAAAGGTATGAATCCCCTTCTTCTCCCCCCCAGCTATGGGTAAAATAGCAGAACAGACTGGGTTCTATAGCCTTGGATGGCAACTGGTCTACCGTAGAAAGAAATGGCAACCTACTGCGGGAAAAAAATCTGCCTCGTCAGTCATGTATCGAAAGATACATGATCGCCTAAGCGTGTATCACGCATGGCACATAACTGATGTCCTTGGAGAGTTAAGTTCTTTTTAAGTTCTTTTTTTATGATGTTTCTTTAGAAATTTCGACTGTCTCGTTCTGATTGTAAGTATACGTTTCTTGTAGTTCCTATTTAGCTTAAAATTTCCTGTCCATAGTATTTCCAGATATTACTGGGAGCATCTTATCTTCTCATCATCTGTGAAACGACCATTCAGCGTCTACTTCCCATCGACGTTATTGTTAATGGTTAAGAAGCTTGTCTCGCTACATCAACTACGAATGAATAGTGCACCATACATTGGGCCTTGTGCCACATCTAACCGTAGCTTAGATGTGGTACCATTTGGGAACTTCGGCGGGGTTTTAGCAAGTTTATCTCGCTAGAACAATTACGACCGAGCAGTGAGCTGTAGAAAACGAATGCAAAAAATTATGGTATTTGTGGTAAAAAAAGAAAAGAAAAGAAAATCATTTCTTCAATTAAATATTTTTTTAAATATCAAATTTTACAGGGTAAAGAATAATGTTGAACCTAACTGTACACACACACTTAAAAACACACACATACACATATATATAAACTTGTAGCCTCTGTCTGTTTGTTTGTTGGCGAACTCCTCGAACCATATATATTCTGAAAACTACATTACCCCGGGTACCAAAATTTAAATCTGAACAATGGAATGACTCCTAGGGTACTCTTAGGGTACTTGGATAAGTATATTTCGTTTTGATCAAAGTGGATCCCCAGAGCGGGATGGGAATGCTGGGCAACCACCACTGAAAATATTTTCCATTTTATTTAAATTAAATTTAAATTTGAACAAAGGAATGACTCCTATCCAAAATATAGAAGGAGAAAGCCAGAAGATGGAGGTGTGGCACCATTTACGAGGCAGAGAAAGGAAGAGAAAGAAAGGAAGGCAGAAAGAAAGGCGAGACGAATCGTAGGTGATAAGCATCCACACACACGGCTAAGAGACAATGAAAATATTGATAAGTAACAAATGAAAAAGGGTGTCATTACAATGACAGGGAATTTCTGAGGAAAAAAGAAAGCAAAAGAAAGAAGGAATCAGATGTGTTTTGATAACGGCTGTGTTATCTAGGCTGGACCACTGGCCAGGGAAAAATTCAAGTGAAAATGCTATTTCGATAAGTGACGAGAAACAGGCCACGAAAAAAGGACTTTTAGACAAATATGAAAAATTAAATCCCCACAAGCAGTCTCGCTGACCGAATTCTTTTCGACGAAACAACTTTGGCCTGCGATAATAAAATTATGTTATCAGGAATATGTACCGAAGGAAAATGAATGGGGACCCAGAAGTGTTTTTCTTTCTTCCTTGGAGGCAACAGACTGACTGAAAACTTTGGGGATATTTCTTTTTTGAAGCCATGTTAAGAATACCACCCATCTTGATAAATTAGCGATAACATACCTGACAAACACCACGTGTAAAACAAGAGTTTTCATATTGTCCGTTGCGACTAGAAGGGTGATAACGGCGATTGAAAGGAAGAAAAGGGAAAGAGAAGAGATAATTTTTTTTTTAGTTAAGCAAGATATATATATTTTTTTTCCCGAAATAAAGCCACGGATTGTTCACGCCCGACTAAGACATCATTGGTCAAGTGGTGATCACGTGACGCACGAAGGAGGAGGAAAGATACCCGACCAACACCTCATTGGCCGAGAGTGATCACGTGACGCACGAAGAAGGCTGTCGACGCCCCATCCAGAGTAAAAGTATGAGAAGCTGCTACGAAGAAGTGGGGAGGGCAGTTCACGCCCCTCAGAGGTATGGTGAGAAAGTGGGAGTGAGGAAGGGTTCCCAAAAATGGAAAAGAGTGGAAAATCCCTAACCAGAAATAAAAGAGGTGGATATGTATTTAGAATTATCAAGGAACCCCCCGACGCCAACAGAACCACCCCGGTTTTGGTCGGCGTCAATAAAAGCGAGGCCCCAAAAGGCAGAAAGCAGTTCGGGCTCTGGCAGTTTCCAGTTGAGTTTCCAGAGTTCGCGCTCGAGTTTCCAGAGTTGAGTTCCCAGAGTCAGTCTCCAGTTGAAACCGCCTCGCAGTTCAGCTGACCAAGATTCACGCAAATTCCGGACTCCTCTTCAACCCAAGAACAATTATTTTGAAGAGCGACTTAGAACCAGACCACCGAAATAAGTTTTTCGACTTTCGTCCAAAGACACACCGAAACACCAATTTCGTAGAGAGCAAACAACTTGAAGCGTTAAAACTTGCCTAGCGGAAACGACGTGTCACAATCCACAGAACGGGTCGGGAGATAGATGCAGTCCTATGTATCGAACAACTAGACATAAAGTTTGTTACCTTTTTCTTTGATACTTTGAACTTTTTGAGTTTTCATTTTATTTTCTTTTATGCATATTTGTAGTATCACCCCCGTTGAACTCGGTTTGCATTACGGCCCCAACCACTGTTTGATCTCGTCTGCCCAAGATCAATTCACAACGTGGGTAGGCGGACTGGAGATCAATGCAGTTACCTTGGTAACCAGGCGTTGGAAGCGAGTTGGGAACGACGAGGCTGATATCAAATCTAACCAGATTCCCACCCGAATCACCAAGAGGTTAGAACGTCACATTTGGGTACCGCGACCGATACCAAGCCAGTTGGTCGTCACAGGACGAGACAACACGACTGACGCGACAGGCGGACGTCACGTTTGGAGCAGCGACACCCGAACGGAGCAGCGAGGAGCGAACAGCTGGCGCCGCGGCGAGGACGTCACAATTGTTGCTGTTTGGGGACGTCACAACTGGTGCCGTGGTAGATCAGGATAGAACGTCACAGTCGGCGCTGCGATCGGGGGGACGACGTCACAGAGGTCACATTGGCAAGATAATTGAGTAATATTGGAATGCATAATATTTCTCCACAAATTATATCAATAATTTAAAATCAATCGTCATTTTCTTAAAAAAAAATGTTTAACAGGGTCCTTAGATCACAGCTCACCGCCGGATCTTACGCGAAACGCTGTTTACGTGTTTATCACTGTGTTTAAGCAAGGGAGATAATTGATCTCGCAAACTTTTTCGAAAAATTAAGATACACACGTGTTACGGAATACTATAACTCTTATAAAGCATACAATTCTAGAAAGATATGGATCTTTGTTCGATTTTAAAAATTTAGGGGGCCATATCTGAACGAATCGCAGGTTATTTTCTAAATAAAATCTTCATTAAACACAATAAAATTCACCATAAACTTTCTTTCAATACAATCTCCTTGGCGTGTTTACATTGAAAAATATAGTTTGACGCGAGTTCTTTAAAAATAAATATAATTACACTTCTTTAGGGTTTCTTCTTAGAAAAATGGGGGCTGAATCGCGGCTAAAGGTAAAACTGAAATCAAACATTTAATAAAGAATTGTTATTTTAAACATTTCTGCCCATCCCATCCTAAGTTTATATATATATATATATATATATATATATATATATATATATATATATATATATATATATGGCAATTTCTGTCTATCTGAGCAAATCTGAGTTCTCGACCTACAAGCGCACAAAAACTACGGCAAAGGCGTTCACAGGTGTATTGTTTAATAAATGTTATCTCCCACTCTAATATTGATGAAACTTTGCATACATATTAAACTAACATCCAGTTCGTTACTAAGCTAATTTTTTTTTTATAAAAATCTATAATGGGACTTCTAGGGCTCCTAGGTAACAGCTCGCTACTTGGCCTTACGGACGTGTTTCACTGTATTCAGCATTTAGTTTAATATGGAATTATTTCGTTTCAAATTTCGCCATATGCATCATTAAATTCTTCAGGTTCGATTTTATTAAATACAAAGAAGTTGGCTCGATTCATTCGGACATTTAAATATAAAACAACATTTAAATTTTGCCATTAACGACATCATCAAAAGAGGTTTAGATGCAGCTGGGTTCCTTCCCACATCGAACCCGTAGGCCTCGACCGCAGTCATGGAAAGCGGCCGGATGGCATTTACCATTTTCTCTTTTAGTCGAGAATCAAACTCTGCTGTTAGTAACGTGTAACACAACTCAATCTGTTAATTATAACTCGAGTAATGAATGTTTTTTTTTTAAATTTAATATAAACATATTAAAATAATAAAAAAAAAATTACCAAGTAATAATGTAAATAATCCACAAACCTATTTCATTTAGAACCTCGCATTTATGTTATGTATCTATTGCCAGACACAAAAGGCAGAATGGCGAAGTTATAGAAATCCTTCATCATCATCACCTACTACATCTTGTAGGTTAGAGAACGGACCCAAGAAAAGCATCCGGTTTTATCAGGTTCATAATTAGCACCGTCCGTTAGGACATTGGAATTTTATTTTCCATCTTATAAGAAGGAAGATGTTTGAATCAGAAAGATGGTATTTTTAAGCTTTTACATAACGATTGCTGATTCATTGTTCACGCATAATT